AGAGTACACCCCCTGGGCCCCTCTGTGAGCCCCCGTGCGACCCCTGCTCCTTCAGCGCGCTGCCCGCTGCTACCGCCGCCGCTAGGGGGCGCCCCAGAGTGCAGGAGGTGGAAAGGAACCTGCCGTGAATTGGGGGGAAGGAGCCGGCGTGAAAACCTGGCGGGCTTCCCCCCAAATTATTTCTATTTTTGTATTTTCCATCCAGCCACCCCCTGGGCCCCTCTGTGAGCCCCCGTGCGACCCCTGCTCCTTCAGCGCGCTGCCCGCTGCTACCGCCGCCGCTAGGGGGCGCCCCAGAGTGCAGGAGGTGGAAAGGAACCTGCCGTGAATTGGGGGGAAGGAGCCGGCGTGAAAACCTGGCGGGCTTCCCCCCAAATTATTTCTATTTTTGTATTTTCCATCCAGCCGTCTCCCCTCTTCTCTGTCCTCGGTTTCCCGCCTTCCGGGACGCACTTCCCGCCTCTGTTCAGAGTTATTGGTCTCCCCGAAGACAATCTCCCCACCCCGAACCAGGCCCCGGGAGTCTGGACCGCAACCTGCGCGCCCTCAGGCCGGGGTCTGTAGCTCAACCGCTTGGCCGGAGGCCTTGGATAACCGCGACCGAGGGGAGGGGAATGGGTGCACTAGTGCTTCGGGAGGAGGAGTCACTCCCGAGGTTTATGCTGCTGCACTTTTTCTTCTGGCCTTCTTTTCTTTTCTAACGAGGGTGGAAGGAGGTGGCAAATTTTCTCTCCGCTTGAGCTTGTCAGGGGTCCTGTTCGAGGAGAGCGGGAAAATGGAAGTGGAGGGAGGTCGGGAGGGGGAGAGCGAGTGGCTGCGGGCGTTCTGGGGATCAGACCGTTCCCTGCGTGCGGGAGGGAGCGAGGCCCGGGAGACCCGGCAGCCTTTTCCGGGCGGGACGAAGACGAAGTGGGAAGGGGTGGGGGTCGCGCCTCCTGCTTCTCGGTCCACCACTGTTCTCTTTTGGTCTTTGGTTTGGGTACAGACGAAATGGAGGTGTCTTGCATATTTTATGCAAAAGATGATGGCTAATGAGGTTGCCACAGCCCCGCCAGGGAAGGAAAAGGCCAACGCAGGGAAGGAAGGTGAGGGTGAGATTGACAAGTCACCGTAGGGTGCGGAGAGGCATTTCCAGCTTAGCTTTCCGACTGGCACCGAGTTCCACTCGATCTGGGAAATACTTGAATCTCTAGGTATATATTATCCTAAACATTTCCTTAGACACGTTTCTAAGTTCGAACTCTGTTCTCCTCTACCCTTTCCTTTTCCTCGGTAAAATGGTTCTTGTCATATTTTTCACGCATGTCTATTGCACCTTCTCTGCAAAGCCACCGCTGGGTTACTGAGACCCGCTCTGCTAACCCCGGCTACAGGAGGGGTTTCCTTGAACTTGAAGAAAGGTACATCAAAACCCACCAGTGTTAACTGCCACGTCAATTTTGATGCTAATAATGTGCAGATTATGACGAAAATTGCCAATCATGCTCTCTGATGGACCTCCTTTGAATGTGGAATTGGTGAAAAGTTCCCTGCACGGAGACCTGCTGTCAAGTACTAACAACCCGCTAAGGGAAGTCATTAGGAGAGACGGATAAGAGACTCGGTACATAAAACATTGTTCTTGGTGCATAGAATGTATGTTATTTAATGTTATCTCTGTTACCTGAAGTGATTTCGCAGAAGAAAGCCACGTTCTTATCATCTCAATTGCCAATTTTCATTTTGGTAACTTGGACGCCCTGGGTAGACTTTTCTCTGTTAAGTTGATATTCCACCAATGTGAACAGCCTCATTAAATCAAGCCCAGATATTTCCATAATGCTCCCTGCAGAGCCACTTCGCTCCTCACATAATGAGATTTTCTGAAGAGTTGAAGCCCTAAAATAACTTGCTAGTGCATGTTTAGGCCCAGCGAAGTGGATATGTGTGTGTATTAAAATGCAGGTATGCTACCTGCGTGTGTCTGTGTATATATATATATGTATATGTACATATATGCATATATATATTGGTGCTCTTAAAAACATATGTAAGAAATACACACATATCCATGTATCTACATTGGCACTATTTCCTGTGATTTATTTCAAGCTCATTTCCTGACATAGTTCTGTTATTTAAAGACACTGGATTTTAAAATTTCATTGCTTAAAGATAGGCTTTCAGTAAACTTCTGAAATAATTTATTTTCCAGGAGAAATTATTATTTTTATCAAATGGAAAATATTTCAAGGGGAAGCAATATTTCAAAACTCCTGGGACCTATTAAAATATTCCCATAAAATATTAGAGAACTTACCAAGGAAATAGCAATGACCTAAAACTCAACTTTCTGCTTTCTAAGAGATGAGACTACTTATGTAAAATATTGATTATACCAGCTCTTATTAACTGAGTTTACATTTTAAAATATTAATATATAATTTAAAATAAACCAAAATATGGTACCCTTTTATCAGCTTTATCTTTCCAGATTGTTGAAGTCCTTTGTTATGATCAGCTATCAGATGTATATAAGGTACTTTAGGCAATAATGTTTACATTTTCCCCCAAAATATATATGATTGATGAGAACGCTGGTTGGTAAAATTAACAAAAATTCATCTTATGTTAGGTCCATTGGATCTGGTTATTATATTAAAATAAAACTGTAAATAAAGTCTTTGTGCTTTAAATATTGCTGGCTGTATGAACTCACTGTAAGATATTTTACAAATGTGCAATAATTATAAAGCTTTGTATATCACGTTATTTATTGTGTTTGGTCATGTAAAATAAATGTTATTTAAATCAAAGCAATTTTATTTGTTTAAGAGATTGCAAAACGGTGCGTGCTGGTGTTTGTTTTTAACTGTGGCATCCAGGGTTATGAAAATCTCCTTAAACAACATATTTAAATCCATATAATACACATATCAGACGGATTAATTCATTCTAATCATTATTTTTATGGCAAATACATTACTCATGTTTATAGGAGACACGCACTACTTCCAAACATTGGTTTAACGTTAATTGGCTGGCTAAACAGATAAGAGCAGTTAGAAGTAGTCTGTGTGTGGGTGTGCATTGTAGAGGACACACTGGCACGGGGAGACAGGGAGTGTGT